TTTTTTTTTTTTTTTTTTTTTTTTTTTTTTCCAGTGATGAACACAGGCAATTGTAAAATTTGCACCAGCGGAGATGACGGCTGTTCCAACAGCACTGTTGCTGAGACAAACCACCCACAGACTCACGGTGCTCACACCTGCTGTTTAGTCTCCATAAGTGTGCAGTAAGCATTGATGAAAGTCAGTGGGTGCCTTTTTTTTCCACGTGAAGGAATTCAGTTCCATCCCTTCGCTCCGCGTGCACTTCTGTGTCAGATGCCACTGTGTCAGAGTGCCCCTGTGCTGCCACCTGTCACACAGCAGCAACATGTGATGGGATATTGGTGGGAACATTCATCTTCTACGGCCATAGCACCACCTGCCTCTGGCAGCGTGGGTCAGTGTAATCAGATAGACAGGAGGCATTACATTCAGAGCAGCCCTTGTAAAATACATACTGCAGTTAGTATATATAAGTAACAAATCTTATTTAAAATATTTTCAACATAAAAAAGAGAACAACAAATACATAAAACTAGTAAGATATCTGACCATGTTTTTGTGAAACTAATGCATCAGGCTGGTTCAGTGGCAGTGGCTGTCACTGTTAGTGATCCCTCAAGATATTCATCAGAGATTTCTGGTGAAATCTTACTCTTCCCGTGCTTCATCCTTGAAAAATTCACCAGTGTGCATACTGCCACAAAGCAATGGTGTGGATAAGGTGTGGTTGTGAAGTGAGAGATGCATTTCTCTGGTCAGACGGGGCTCACAAAGGTCTGGCAGAGACACACAGTCAAGTATTTCTTCGAGTCTGCTTGCGACTCTATAAATTCCATTTGAAAAGATGTATTTATGTTGACTGAATATGGAGTCGCAAGTATTAAAAATAATAATAATAATAAATTAAAAACAAAAAAAACCCACACAACTTCTTCAGCACTCTTGAAAAGCACTCACAAGTGCCCTTATCAATACGGAAAGCACAGCAGCCCGGGCCCGCCCCCGGCAGCAGCACCCGCACTACTCCGCATCCGCCATGGCGCAGGGGCAGCCGTGGGCGGCGGCAGGGCCGCGGGGCTGCGCCGTGCACTCGGGGCGGCCACTGGAACTCTTCTGCGGGGACTGCGGCCGCTGCGTCTGCGCCCTCTGCCCGGCGCTTGGTCCGCACCGCGGCCACGACGCCCGCCTGCTGCTTCAGGCGGCCCGCGACAAGCAGGTGAGCCGCGCCGTGCTGCGGGACGGCTCCGTGCCGCGCACTTCCCGCTCCCGATCGGAGCCTTTTCTTTTACGCCTTTCTTGCCCGGGGTGAGCGCGCGTGGGTTTTCCGCTGTCGGCGGTGGGCTCGGAGGGCTGCGGGAGTGCGTGCGGTGCGCTGCTGCTGCGCGAGGGGGCGGTGGGTGGGGACAGGGGCAGAGAGAGGCGCGGGGTCTGTCCGCCGGACGGCTCGGCCGCGCTGCCTTGCACGGCGGAGGGAGAGAAGGGCGAGAGCTGGGGAACTCGTGGGTCACTATAAACGTAGTTCAGCGGGCAGAGGAGAAGGGGAAGGCGAGAGGAAGAAAACGAGACAGAAGAGGCAGGGCAGAGGCTCGCCGCCTCCTGCGGTCAGATCGATGTCCAGCCAGCTCCTGAGCACCGGCTGGGTCATGCGCCCAAATACCTGCTCTGCATTGTATTGCTGGGCGTGGCGTTATGGGGCACGGTTGGGTTGGGCGATCAGCAGGGGTGTGCTGGTCCCGGCACAGTGAAACTTTCGCTGCAGAGGCAGAGGGAGAAACACAGAAGGCCGTGATGCTGTGCTAGCCCTGCTCAGCAGCTGCTGGGAAACCACCGTGCTATCAAGTACTGCTTTGGTCATGGCAAGGAGCACTTGCTCTGTCCCACCAAACCACAGAGATGCGTCGTGCTGCGGCCTGTGGGTATGGACACTGCTGGCAGGTAACACCTGCTGACTTCTGGACCAGAAGAAGTGAGCAAGACAGAAACTTGAGTGCAGGTGTAACAGTATGTCTCTGCTGACATCTGCTGGCCTTGAGACAGAGATTTCAGGTGCAGATGTGTCTCCACAATCGTCATAGCCTTAGGGATCATCTTTGGACCAGCAATTTTGTTTTGATCTGTTGAGACAGCTACAAGGCTGACAGTCTTCCTCAGCACTGCTAGGAAGTGCGAAATGGGGGTGCCAGGAGGAATTGACAACAGCTGTGCAGGGTCCATCAGCTGGTTATTCCTTGGAGCCAAGCATGTTCAGTATCACTAGTCAGGATGCTCCCTGCCCTCTGATCACTAGGCACAGCAAAGCTCCTGCATCATCAGGTGGAGCACAACCCTTCAGTTCGTCAGGGACATTGAGATGGGAAAGTTGAGGCTGGGAGAGATGGCATGGCCTGAGTTCTTGGTTCCACACAGGTAGAGCATTCGTCTGCTTGCATGTACGTATGTGTGCAGGGGACTGTCAGCTGTGAGCTCTCTGGTTTTGCCTGCAGCCCATTTATCATCTGGCTCTTGTCAAAACCAAATAACAAATTGGTGCTGAGTGAGTGTGCCAACATGGCTGTAGCTGCGGAGCTGCCTTACCTGTACTGCTGGGATGCTCTGTACGCAGCACTCGTGCACTGCTGAGGGTTGGGGTACTAATAACAAAAAGGCATCACTGAGTGCACCTGTTCAGTCCACAGCGGGCTGTGGTTGAAGAACTGTGGGGGCAGCTGCAGCAGAGCTGTGTTGCTTAGTATGCTGCAGGGCTTGGCACAGATACTGGAGATGCTGAGCTTTAAGTACTGGTTGTTACAGTCATTGACCACAGCATCACTGTGGTGGCTGTTTCTTACTGCTCTTTTTCACAAATGTCTTGAACATTCACTGTTTTTGTGACAACAGACAGAGCTTTCCACAGATGATCTGAATGAAGGTGCTTGCTTAGCTGCCCATGGGGAAGAAGGTGAAGTAATAAAATATTTATGTTGTGTTGCCACTAGCCTTACTGGATAGCCCTATAGACTGTTTCAGTAACATACTTGCTTGCTAGAAAAGAAAGCTATATATATATATGTATACACACAAAAAACAAATGTCATGAAACAGATTTTATCTTATATTTTGTAATTTCTATGATTTATTTTATTTTTACTGCTTAGGAGCTCCTCACAGTGTATTTGAGGAATCTAGAAGCGAGAAAAGAGCAAGAAGCTGGTAACAGAAGGAATGTAGAGCAAGCTGCTGATGATCTAAAGGTAAAGCGTGGTTTGCTACTGTACTAGTTGATCATTTTCACAGGAGAGATATTTTTCTCTCTGTCTATGGCTCTTCAAAGACCCAGACAGGTGCTGCTTCTCTAGGGAAGGAGAGTTTGACTATGGAGGCACTCTTCTGCTTCATTTATAGGCACATGCTGCTACAAGCAAACAGCAGCTGTTGGACAGAGTGGCACAGCTCCAGGTACTGCTTCAGGAAGAGGAGAGACTGGCAAGAAGCGTCATTGATGAAAAGACTCAACAGGCCCTTGAAGCACATGGTCAGCAGGTGCAGTCCTGTCAAGAAGAGCTTGCAGTCCTGGAGGCATTCTCACAGCGAATCAGAGAGATACAGCAGTGCAGTGATCCTATTCAGTTCCTGGAGGTGCTATTGTGTGTTCTCTTCCCACCTCTTACCCTCTTAGTCCCTGGTAGATTGCTCTGGTGGCTGGCTTCTGCAGATCCATCTGCAAGGATAATCTTTCTCACTGCGTTTTTTTGTTTTCTAGCTGCTTTGGTGGACCAGTTTGGTTCCTAATGGTTGGACTGTTAGGTTCATGCATTAATTTCAGGTCTAAAGGAGATTCTTTATACTTACAAGCACATATGAAATGAGAATTAGGCATGCTTGATCGTCTTGAACATTAACACTGTTTCAGGTCTTTCCTTGGGCAGTGTAATAAGGCTGTTTGAGGACAGACAGCACTTTCTGGCAGTCTGAGGCTAAGTTGTCTCATTCCTTTGACTGCAAGCAATGCCAGTATCCTTGAGCAGTTGCCATCATTTTGCTGGAGGCGGCGGTGCTTCTCCTGCCTACAGATGAAGGTTCACCTTTTTCCTAATGAGCTGTTAAGAAGGCACAGCCAGCTGTACTTGTTATGGCCTGGTTCATCTCGCATCGGAGCTCTTTGCCCCTGTGTGTGGGAGCTGGGAGGGAAGAATCCGTTTGTGCTGCTGACTGTACTCATTTGTTTTTCTGCCCTCAGAAATGCACAGAAATTGAGAAGGAAATGCAAGAT